ATTACAATCCCGTAGTTTAATTTGATTTGCAAAATGCATATTTGACTGTCAATAATCTTAAAATAAGTTGTTTAATACATATGAAAAAAGCTACAGGTACAGAAAAAAAAAACAGAATTTGTATAGGAATTTGAATTCCACTCACATGGGAGGCAGACCCCGTGTGAATTAAATATTACCAAAAAAATCGAGACGGACCTGTTTGTGTGTATTATGTCCGGCTTTTATGGGTACTTTTCCTGTACCCATAGCATTATTGTACCCATAGCATTGCTCAATACCTATACCTGAACCACATAACAATAATTTTTTTATGTACTTCGTTATGTTAATACATATCGCAAAAAGTTTGTCATTACACTGACAGAGACAAGGAATAGTACATGTTCACGAACGAAGATGGGGAATAGCAACACACTAATCGATTACAGTTGAGCTAACGAGATTATTGTTGATATCGAGTGAAAATCAAGCATATCAGAATCGCGCAAAATGAAGTCCTCGGAGACAATTGTCTCGAGTGTAAATTGTTTGTAACTTTTGATCCGTAATATAGTTCACAAATATATGAACAAGTTTGTAACTTATGGTTCGCAAACAACAAACCCTTGTCCACACACCTCGAAAAGTTAAATATAAATCCCCTTTCTCCATTCTAACCATGATCACAGATTTATTTTCAGTTTAACAAACCGAATTAACACCTCGAGACATTAATATTATGTGTAAGTTGATCCACGAACACAAATGTTAAGCCGAAAATTGACCCCATATAATCAGTCAATACTCTAGCATGCGTATGGTATCCATTGTGACTACAACGATAGTTGAGTCACGTGCACAAATCGATCAAGTGCTAAGTTTGAAACAACTGAGTATGCTTTGACACGAATCTTAAGTAGCAGCATTGCTTGAAAGTTTTCTAAATGGGGGAACATGTCTATACTCGAAGTTTTTAACTTTTAAGTGTTTTCCAAATGCATATAAAACTCAAGTATTGGGTTTGTTGGAATATCTTTAAAGAGGTGAACTATAAATGACCTTGTTATAATGTTATGTCGATAATCTAATCGAGTAATTAACTTTCTTGACATGTTCATCACATTTGTAGATATATTTATACAAATCGATCCTCTTTACCGTAACCGTGTGATTGAACAAATGTGTGTCTTCTCCCTTCTTCAAATTTCGATTAATAATTTTCACAAAAAAAAAAAAAAGCAAAACAAAACCTCTGATAAAAGTCCAAAATCCGATTTCTGTCATAGTTAAAAAATTCTTCATATTATTAAAAATCGGTCTTATTTTCTCTACAATGAAGTATAGTTAGGATTGATAAAGTCTCAATCTCAAGATTCAAACGTGGTTAAAATTTAAGCCTTGTTTGTTTCTGATTAAAATCATATTTTAATTCAAGTCAAAGTTAAACAATCAATATTAACTACATCTTTCACGGGTTTCACAACTTTTTAACCACACATTTCAAAAATTTATATCACAATCTACTAAATTAAAAATCTAATTTTAATCCCCACCAAACATCCACTTAAAATCGGTCTGTTATTTATTGGTGTACTCTCACGAATCTAAAGTACGATATTTCATCCAATTAGGTAAGGACACGTCCGTAGTTGCACCGTATTCCATCACCCCGTGTATAGGAAATCATTAAAATCTATTCCATCAATCAAGGCATTAAAAATACATTCGGCCATAGTTTCACTTCGGTCACTCCACTTCTTTTTATTCCACAGTAGTCATTGAACTTTTGAGTACCGTTAATTATAAGCGTGTTTAATGATCATCTTAAATTTTAAGATTATTATTAAAATGAAAAATCAATTAAAGTCATCTAAATGTCCCATCATGCTTATGCGTAAACAATGATGACGAATAACATCATACTCCTTCCGTCCCGCTTATATAGGTGAGTAATACTATTCATCCCCACTGGGAATGAAAACACAGTCTAGATGATGTTAATGTGACATTAAATGATAGGTGAAATTAAATAAGTCATTTCATTTCACCTATCATTTACAGTCATATAGACTGTGTTTTCATTCCCACTGGAGATGAATAACATTACTCTTATATAGACTGAGTTTTCTTTCTCTCTTGTCCCAAGTATATATGTCTATTTCTTAATATAAAATATTTTTTTGTGTTCCTTTAGAACATATCCAAAAAACTCTTTAAATATTAGATACTTTTTTATTTTAAAGAGTCGGCATTTAAAATTATGCTCCAAGAGACTCTTTAACTTAATATTTTAATTTAGAGAGTGTGTTTGACTCTCCAAATTTGGAGAGTCATACACACTCTCTATAATTAAATGCATTCAAAGTATTTCAGTTTTCAATGTAGGAAAATAAGAAAATAATCTAAAGAAAAACTAGTTAAAATAAAATATTAAAAAAATAATAAATATTATACAGGAGTGGTAAAATTAAGTGTTAAATATAAAAAACTTGTTGGAGTACTTCAAAATTTTAACTCTCTAAATTTATAGATACTCTCCAAATGATAGAATATGCTCTTTAAAAATAGAGAGTCTGTTGAAGATACTCTTAATATACAAATTTCTTGAAACCACACAAATACACACATTTCTCACTTCTTGAAAATATGGAACAACTCTAATTTCTTCTTCTTCAAATTCTTTATTAATTCCAACAATAATTTAGTTTTACATGCTGAAAATTAAATATGGGAAAATTAGGAAAGATCTTAGCAAAAATTAATTTTTCAGTGACATTAAATAAGTTTTCTTAATCCATGTGAAAAATAAAATAAACCTATATAATCAGGACGGAGGGAGTACTACTTATTTTTTAATAAGGTTACTTTATTTATATGCTAAAAGTAATGAGCTGACTTAAAAAGTTCATTATTATATTAGTTATGTAGTCTAAAGTATCAAAAGCAAAGATTTTTCTGATACGAATCATATTTTATAAATGTTATTTTCTGAGGAATAAGCATTTCTACCAACTTGAATGAGAAAACTAGTGTCACGTTCATTTCCTCCAGGTAGGTAATCCAATTACTTTCAAAAAATCGAAGTAGAAAAATTATTTTACGAATGTTTAGTTTTAATACTTTCATCTCGGCCGCTTCTCTATCTTCTACACTTCGACTGAGTCGAGTGCTTTCTACATAGTGACACAATATCGAACTACCGCAAAGATTTAGTCGAGTGTTTAATTTTTATTTTTTGCATTTTCACTCATATTTACGCATTTCATTGCATAAATTTCAGGATCTCGTGAGATTAATCGAGGTGAGCGCAAGTTGACCCGAACATCCACGGTTATCAAAAAATAAAAAAAATTATCATTTTCATTCATTTTCTTCAATAATAATGACGAATATACCCTCCCATTTAAATATGACAAAAATAAAAGAAAACAAAAAAAAAATTGAACTAATTGCAATCATAGTCCCAAAATTTTCAAAAAATTATAAATAACTTTCTTCTACTAATAAGTCACTTTGTTCATATCACTACATCAAACATTTTTTGTATTCAAATGAAACCACATACTACACTGCTGAAATGCATTTTGATTTCGTCTACTTCCCATAGAATCCATTAACCTTCCAATTTGACAAGAACTTTTTGTCAAACTCCAAGTAATGGAATTCAAATCTCAACCCAAATCTTATAATTACACACCTCGCTCTCCTCCTCGTAGAGTCCTGCAGTTCCATGTCCCAAGCAAAGCAAATTCAAGCCCACATTACCCGCATTGGCCTCATTTTCCATCTCTTTGCAATTAGTAGGCTACTGATTTTATGCCATGGATGAAAATGGGAGCATGAGCTACGCAAATGTGCTATTTGGTTAGATTCTTGAACCAAATGTGTATATTTCCTTACTAGCAAGCCTTGTACATGGATTGGTAGGAGTCATTTGATTTTATTTCAAAATTTATACAGAACACCCATTCCATCCCCACTTTCAGACCAAATCAAAATTTTAAACCACCGGTTGGTCACTCATAAAAAACAACCTCAATAATTTCACTAGAACCACTCACAGAAAACAACCTCAAGCATTACACGAAGACCTAAATAATTTCGATGAAACTGCAATTCAAAATATTTTCGTGACAGTAACTTTTAACAATAAATGAAGCTTCAATTTTGTTTGCCTGAATTTCTTCATCTAGAAGGTACATTAAGAATCACACACAAAACAACCTCAAATATTCGATAAAATTTGGGATGGTGGTGTTGGTGGCGGAATGTAGTTGTTGACGGTGGCCCAACAATGGTTTTTTGTTTGAACCGTGTTACACGAACACCTCGATTGACACCTTAGATGACCGAATACACACATGCACCTCGAGGATCGGACATTATTTTATTCACGCGGGACCCCCGCGCAATGTGAGGGTCGGTCACCTGAAGTGTCAACCATTTTCAAGTAAAGTGACTTTACTCTTTTTGTTTTGATTTGATCCGAAAGTAGAGTGGAATGGGTGGGGTGGAGGAAAAGATGAAGTGATTTTTGTGATTTAAGTTTTGATTTGTAATTACGTATTTGTGACTTACTTATAATTTTTTGAATTTTTTATTTTTTCTTTTCTTTTCTTTAAATAAAAGTATATAATTGTCATTTTGCATCTTCTTATTAAGAAAATGGATGAAATGATGATTTCTGCAGTAAAAAGTATAAGTATGAATGAAAATGCAAAAAGAATGCAAGATGAAAACATTTTGTATAAAATAAACTTGAAATATAGGGACGCCTTGTGCTACGTAAAACAACGCTATAAATTGGGTGACGATAGCGATTTTAACTCAGACATAACTCCTCCAAAATATCAAAGCAGAACCTTTATATATTCTCTCACTGAAACGTTTCTCCCTTTCACTCGTCTTCAGTCTCAGCCCAAAACCCTAATTCTCTACTTTTCTCTCCCTATATTCTCGACGGATAGCAAATATCTATATACATATACAAATTATTTATTTGTTAATAAGTTGAGCCAATGGAGGTTCCAGCAGGGCAGAATAAGCAGAAAGAGCAGGATTTTTTGGTGGCTTCAATTTCGCAGCTTTCGATTTCGAACAGCACTTCACCGCAGGTGGTTGCGAAATTCCACTACGACTCTGGAGTTGCGGAGCTCCGCTTCGACCCGGAATCCGACTCGAATGCCTCTGTTCACTTCGTTCTCCACACTTCTCGGGTCAGCACGACTGATTAGTTAATCATGATATCTGTATTTAATTTGAGCTTTTTGGTTATGTTAGATTTATTTTTGGTTTTAGTTCGATTTGAAGTTCGTGAAGAAAGTTGTAGTATAAGATGAGAGTTTCTACAGATATTTTGACTGGTCATTTATGATGTTGTCAACGTTTATTTAAGAGCATTTCGTATTTTATTTTTTATTTTTTGATGATTTCATTTTTTTTTTTTGTTAAATTGTTATTTTATTGCTGATATATGACGTGCTTATTTCAATATAGAGGAAGTGATCGGATTTTGGTGCTGCTCATGGATAAAAGATAGCGGAAGAGATTGAAAATTGCTCTGTTTATTTCGTTTCTTACATTAGAAGCTTAGAAGATGAAGCAAAAATCAAAGTGAACTTGGTATTACTATGTTTAGAAAAATTGAATGTTCAACGTATCTATCTAAGATGGGAAAAGAAGGACTGGAATATTCCTTTGCACTCTCTAGAAAAGGGATCTTAGTTTTAACATTTCTAAATAGGGAAAAAGCAGTGCTACAACTTTTGAGAATTATTTAGATTGCGTGTGCCTATGATTTTCTCTTTTATTTGGGATTTAGATACCCTTTTCCTTTTAAATATAATCAGATATTTCACTGGCACTTCATAAAAATAGCAGGTTATATGAAATATTTTTAGAGTAATTATATGAGTTATTTTATTGTGTATTTTTGGGATGAGTTGTTCTAATTTCTTTTGATTTCTGTCCAGCTTTTCAAGTTAAGTCCATTTCAATCAGTATGTATATCTGAAGCTTCTGAAATGGATAAAGAGGTATGATATTTAATGCGTTACCTTGTGCCCAATGTCATACTCATTTTCCTATCCTGTACTACATGAATAATTGGAGGTGCAAGGAACTTAAAATTTGATTTGTATTACCTGGACCATACCCTATAGCCCTATGTGTTATACTAGTATTGTATCAAGAGAGCTCATCGGAAGCAGTTTAAAACCCTCATCTGAGATTTAAATTATAGCCTGCTTTGGAAGTATGATTTTTCCTATTCTATTTTGTCTATTTTGATTGGAATATATGTGAATCAGTTGCAACTGAAAAAGGAAACAATTTTCTATTTTTGGCTGGTGTTATACAGTGAGAATAAGATTTTTTTGGTGTTGACTTTTTTGCTGTTGAATCAGAAAAGCTATTCCAGGGGAATCTCCATTCAATTCAGAAATGAGGAGGAAAGTAGGAACTTCCATTGTGCATTTGAGCAATGGAAGAAGGAAGTGGTCGTTCAAGGTTGGTTTGAAATCTTTGGTGATGTGTCTTGACAAATGTAATTGCAAGCCCCCTCCTCCCATTATATCCTTTTTATATCCTTGCAACTCTTTCTTCATTGCAATTTTCCATATGCAGTGGTCATTATGATCTTCAGTTTGTATTTGGACCAAGAATGTCATATTTTTGGGTGGATTTCTCCTTTAATTGTTATAATTATTTTTCCTAAATATTAAGATATTGAAGCGAAATTTATGCCTTTATTCTCTGTTTGAATGTTTAGTTTCATTTGATTTTCATTATGTTTGTTTATAAGCATTTTTTGTTTGTTATTTGGGAGAGATCTCCAAATTCTAAAAAAGTCAAGTCCTTTTAAAGAGTTCTTCCAACAGAATAAGAATTTTGGAATGTTTATGTCATTAAGTACTTTAATTTTATTGGCTACTTCTTACCATTAATTATCTAGCTAGAGAGAGAGAGCATTTCTTCATGGGACTCTGGTCCTGCCCCTTTCCCAAGGCAAAGTGGATGTGTATTTATTATTGTAACTTGTATCATATGTTGGCATTTGTTAGTTTCAAATATTCATGTCAAGCTGCACGTTGAAAGTGCAAACTTACTATAACACGAAAATATAAGACGCTCAACTCAGATTCGTGTTGGAATCTGCAAACAGGTAAATAAGGGTATGCCTGCTTAGGTATTTGAATATGCAGAATGTAGACAGGGTTTAGTTTAGTTTGTATAATCTCTCAATTTCTACCACTATATAAGTTCTTACATTGACATGTTATAATGCTGTGTTGCTATTAGAGAAATCTGTTATGCATATATGCAGGCTTCCCAAATTTGTCAAATATTTGGCACCATCTTCTATTATTCTCACAAAATAGGATAAAATATAAAGGCTGCAGAATAACTGAATAAGGCTCATGTGGAATTCTGTTTCTACAGAATCGGATTTTCCAAATGGGACAGTGTTATCATCTCAAAGCAAGTTTGATGACAAAATAGAGGCGTCATCTGCTAAAATGTACTTTCATTACTACGGACAACTTCTACACCAGCAAAATATGATGCAGGATTACGTTAGGACAGGTTAATCTCTAAGCTGTATTATGTATCTCCTCTTCAATATTCTCTTTCATTCTCATTTTGCGTTTTTTGTCACTTCAAGTATTTAAAGGCTTGCGGACCTTTTTTATGCAGCTAGATCATGTATTTCTAGAGCTTTTACGTCACTCATACTGTTGCAGTGGAAGCATATGTCCGTCTCTGTGGATAATTGACATGATATATGTCCATTTTGCAGGAACTTATTACGCTGCGGTCATGGAGAACCGTGTGGACTTTGCTGGCCGTGTAGTTGTTGATGTTGGTGCTGGTAGTGGCATTTTGTCATTATTCGCTGCTCAGGTTCTTTAGTATATGTCTTTTATACTTTTTACATCGATTAGGCTGATTGCCATGAAGCACCTTAACATTGACTCATGCTGGTTTACATAATCTTCTCTCTCTCTCTCTCTCTCTCTCTATCTCTCTTTATTAGGCTGGTGCAAGACATGTTTATGCTGTGGAAGCATCAGAAATGGCAGAATATGCTAGTAAACTTATAGATGGTAATCCATCTCTTGGCGAAAGGATCACGGCAAGTGTCAACTTGTTGAATTTTTATCTGTGAAAGTTTTTATTCTCTTCACTAATTTTTTTACCCAGAAGTAACAGCATGACATCTTGTGTTCATTACGTAGGTCATTAAGGGTAAGGTTGAAGAGGTTGAATTACCTGAGAAAGCAGATATTTTGATCTCTGAGCCAATGGGTAAGCTAAGTTCTTTTGCCTGCTTCTGTCATCCAGTGAATAATAACATCTTGGTTAATGTTGATATATATTTAGCTAACTTAACACAAAGCAAACATGCACAGGAAACTATGCACGTGTTGTGTGCATGCTCAAGCGATGCATATTCCTTTTTACCAAAATCTGAATTCTTTATTTTGCTGGAAATATAAACATCTCCTTTGAGGTTCAACACGCATAAAATTCCCTTACAATAACAAAATCAACTTCAAATTTGATGGCTGGTTCTTCAGAACTTGGAAAAAAAATAAAAAATATAGGCACACTCTTGGATATACAAGGCCTGAATGGACAGTGTTCACATGCATGTGCTCTAGGATTTTTTTTCTTGGTGCCTCTGAAATTCTTTTTATTGGGGGCAAGGAGGGGGTTTTTGACTGACTCCTTGTGCGCTTGCCTGCTTTTCAGATGTTTATCTTATTAATGACAGACTTAACCTCCTGCAGGCACTTTGCTAGTCAATGAGAGAATGTTGGAGTCCTACATAATTGCAAGAGATCGATTTCTTGTTCCAAATGGAAAAATGTTTCCAACTATAGGAAGGTTAATGTTGCTTTTCTGCTGTAGTTGAAGGGATACCTAAAACTAATTTCTCTGCATAAGTGCCGTGTTACTCAAAGAGAGGAAATTGTTTTCTGATTTTAAAATATGCGATAAATTGAAAGTTGAACCAGTTTAATGATTTACTCTGTATAATTTTACCCTAATTTCCTTTTTGTTTTTTTGCCTTTGCATTATTTACTTTCTTGTGCATGTTTTTATTTTCTATCATATTGTGATGCTTCACCTTGTCTTTGAGATATCATGAAATGTGTTTCATGCTTCTCCTGCTCTTACCTGATCTCTCTGAATTTTCAAGACGAGTCAATTATTTAGTGAACGGTTCTATGTTCTTATTTCTAAGATTAATGAACTTTCTATATGTCCTGAAGTTCATCCCATCTCTAATTTCTTTAGCTTTTAGATACCGTGGTCAACAAATTGTGCTTCTATTTATGATCTTTATAATGAAAATAGGGACTTTGACAAAGCAAAATTTCTTAACTATATAAAGTATTAGTTCCTCATCCAACAAAAGAATTTTTTACCTAATGGTTACACAATAATTTAATTCATAATATGCATGTTAAATATGATCCACAGTTTACCAAAATTGAGATATTATTTTCACTATATTAAGTCATGTTTCTTATTCTTTTAACCTTTAAAAATCTTTATAATTTCTCTAATGAAGGAAACACAACCTTTTTGAGTTTCATCCTCCTACTCGAGGTAATATATATATTTCTAAAGATCTAGTTGATGATAAAGCTAATGCCTATTACAGAAAGAGACAAGCTGATAGTCAACATGAGAGTCCTGTTGTGAAAATAAAGATTGTATGTTTTTAGCATTCCCAGGGTGGAATTGATGAAAAGAAAATGCGTGTTTACTATTAAGAGAAACAATTAATGGAGGTTGGAATCATGGTTGAATATATTTGTTAAATGTATTGCAGCCTAAAATTGTGAAGTGTAGTATTATTGTATTATGACACCTATTAATATATGTTAAAATGTATTCTAATAATTATTACTTAAACAGGATTTCCTCAAATTGATATTAATTGTTGGGTATTAGAATTATTAACTTTGGGACGATGACATTAGTTGGTGGAGTCCTAGAAAGTTTTATTGAATATAGGAGATTTTTAGCTCATTGAATTTTAATTGTTAGGATGCAGAATGTGTACATTCTTTGTGTTTGTCGAGCATAAGAAAGGCCCTTCCTCTTGACTTTTACTTGAGTAGTGGTTTTATACATTGTAATTTGTTCTTTTCTTGTGCCTGATATTTGTACTTGCTTGCTCTTGTAGAATACATATGGCGCCATTTAGCGATGAGTATCTGTACATGGAAATTGCGAATAAGGTAAGAACAAATTTTTGCTTCTGATAACGATTACTTTCTTTTTTGTTATTATATTCTATGGGTAGATTGAGAAGGGATTGGTCATTTGCTCAATGGATGAGGGGACAATTTTGGGTAGTTTTATATATACACTGAAGTTTGGATTATCATGAGAGCATGTCGTCGTTTTGTTCCCCAAATGTTTCCCTTCATATTGCATTTTTCTGTTGAAAAAATGGGAATCTAAATTTTTTTATTTCCATCCAGGCTTTGTTTTGGCAGCAACAAAATTATTACGGCGTTAATTTGGCTCCTTTGCAAAGTACTGCATTCCAAGGATACTTTTCACAGGTCTATCTTATCTACATCTCAAATGTATTTGTAGTTTTCTGATGGCAATGCTAATTGCTTGTGTATGCTTATTGCCTCGTTTTCCTATAAATACTGTAGGTCTCTACGAAGTTACACAGTTTGGTTTCAAAGACATTGCTTATATATTTGTCATATGTTATGTCGTAGATGAAACCTGCATAAAATTCCCTGCATTTATCATTCTTTAAAATATTGTTTCATCTAGAGCACGAGTTACTCTGCCGTAAATTTCAGGCCTCGTGGGATTAGTCAAGATGTGAGCAAGCTGGCCCAAACATCCACGGTTATCAAAAAAAAAAACAATAAGCCCTGTTCGAGCCCCATTTTTCAAAAACTCATTTTTCTTCAAATGCATTTTCAATCACACATTCGCCCATAAAATAATTTCACACTTCAATCCTAATCTTTTTTTTCACTTTATAGTACACATTTTCAAAAATTCACCATTACAAAATCTATTTATCCCAAAAAATGGGGCTCAAACAAGGGCTAAGAATTGGTACAGAAAATCCCTTTTGCATAACTGGTTCTAGTTGGATGTGTAGTTATTTGGCTTTGCCTTTTTGATCTAAAATGTCTGTGTCAACTAATCTGGCCACCAATCATGAAACCATAAAAAGGAGATGCACGGACAGATGTCATCTGTAGCACATTCTTCCAACTTTGAAATTTTCTAATGTTATCTTTCAGAAAAATTGGCTTTGTTATCCTCAATTTAATATTGTGACTTGTGAGAACTTTGTAAAATACTATTTTGATATGAGAAATAAAGTCTAAAGTTGCAAATTATTTTTAAAGAGTTGGTGATTGTGTACTTCCCATGTTAAACACATTGTTTGTGGAAAAACATTGACATGATGCCATTTTTTCTTAAAACTACATTTGGCAGATATGGCTCATAAATATGACAGCTGAAGTAGGATATAGGTTGAAAAGGATGTGATGAAATATCTATCTTAAATGTACAAGTCCAGATCATTGCTAGCAAGAATTTTAATTTTTAAATATTAACTGTAAGAATTATAGTCATGTATCTAATATTAATTATCAGTCTCCGAAAATATTGTTACATTTATGGAAAAGAATAATGTTTCTTTGATGACCATTTATCATCATGAATTTGAAATGCACTTGAACTAGAACATGAAATATACGGATCCATCAATAAGTAATTCTATTTGTATTACAATGCCATTGTTTAATAAACTCAATACTATGTTATGCTGCCTCTCATGATCTATTTCGTCTTCTATGCACCTTGCAGCCAGTGGTGGATGCTTTTGATCCTAGACTATTGGTGGCTCCTGCAATTTCCCATGTGATAGACTTCACTTCTGCAAAGGTTAATGTTTTTACCTAAGTTATATATCTGGTGCTTATACATGCAACTTGAAACTTGGAAAGTCTATAGCGAGATTTTCACATTCTTCTAAACTTCATTCCAATTGTATGTTCGCTCTTGAGTACTGCTGGAGAAAGGTCAGACACCATCCTTAGATTCTCTCATCTTTTTGTGGAGTTTTAAAATTAGTGCTTTTTGAAAACCTATACAATTTGGTCAACAAATTTAAGTTTACTACGTTCTCAGCTGCTACAAAAAACTACCAAGTTAAATCCCCTCAAATTTGAATTCCAAAACATGGTCATGGAAATTTGCTGAGTGTGTCTTGTCATTAGTTCTCTCTTACATATAAATTGTCCATAGTTGTTGGATTGCACAACAAATTAGACTATAGTAGGGTCAACTAGTTTTATTCAAAGGTTTTACAATAAGTATCTATGTTTTGTGTGAAACTTCCCTCCATTTCCCCTCTCCTCCGCCCAGCAGAAGAGAAAAAATCTTGGAAGCACCCAATAAGTCACATGCTGGTAATTTTAGTGGCTCCATTCTTCCAAGTGTCTGATGATGAACTAGAGACTAGCGCAGTTGAGAGAATGTTTCAAGTGGGAATTGATTCGTTTACGTTTCCAAAGTAAGCTTGCTAGACCATATAAGGTATGCGTGGTAGACTTCCTAGTTCCTAGGATTTGAAACGTTTGGAATCTTGTGGCTGGGAGCAAATTCAATCATTGGGGGTGAAGGTTCCTTGGATCTGCATTTGAATGGGGGCATGCTAACCAGAGGGTATACACGTTTGGAAACTCTAGTGCTTTACTCTTCTGATTCCATTTCTGGGAATATTGTGATAGGAGTTTAATCTGCAATTTTGTATGAAATTGAAATCTTTAAGATTATCATTTCCTTGAAAAATGATATATTCAGTAAAGCAATTATAGTTGATTTTTTACCCGTCTTCTATTTAGTGTCTCGCATGCAGTAAGCTTCTCAACCTGTTAAGACTAATGTAATTTATATTATATTCATCAATTTTTCCTTTTTCAGGAAGAAGAATTGTATGAAATTGACATCCCATTGAAATTTGTATCTTCCGTGGGCACCAGAGTCCATGGTTTGGCTTGTTGGTTTGATGTATTGTTTAATGGGAGGTAATTGTTTGATGCTGTATGTGTTTACACTTCTCACTGTTTTCCCTCCATGAATCGTGTGATTACTACTTGCCTTAGTTATAATTAATTTTATTCATCCAACAGCACTGTGCAACGGTGGCTTACCACTGCTCCTGGTGCGCCTACAACACACTGGTACCAGCTGCGTTGCGTTCTCGCCCAACCAATTTATGTGATGCCTGGACAAGAAATAGTTGGTCGACTCCATATGGTTTCCCATAAAGCTCAGAGTTACACCCTTTACCTTACATTGTCAGGTCAGTTTTTTATAGCACTTGTACTGTTCACGAAACAAATCCCGGATTTTTCTTTCAGTTCCCTCCTTTTGCTTCCCTGCTTGGTTTCCTTTATTAATCCACTAGTCATTTATCTGAATAGCTAAAATGTGGGGCCCTGGTGCTGAGCAAGGAGGAATACTCCAGACGTCATCCGGAAAACTTGATCTCAAAGAGCCCTATTATCGGTTGTCTCAACCACAGGCCTATCCATTGCCACAAGATCAACAATCAAATCAGCTATTACAAACACAGGTATTGATCATTTCGGCCTTTTACTTCTGAATAAATGTGGGATACCGAAGTGTTCAATGAATTTTGCCTCTATACCTGTGCTATTTCTTCGGGTAGCTCGAGTAATATACTGGATGACTATCTCTAAGAGTGAATATGTTCTGTAACGTTCTTTTCAGTACCATTTCTACCCTTGTATAGAATATGCATGATTGGTAAGGAGGCACTCGATAGTATTAAGAAAGAAAAAGAAACTAGAATCCCGTTACAATAACATTTCTACACTTGTACAGAATATGCACGTTTGGTAAGGAGGCACTGGATAGTATTAAGAAAGAAAAAGAAGTTAGAATCCCGTTACTATATTGTTCATTCTTGCCCAATACTGCGTAACAAACGTACACTAAATGGTTAGGTTGAAAACTAAATTTAAATGGTGTCCTGTACCAATTTTCAGCTCAATCTCTTTCTGTTCATGAAGACGGATTTTCCACTTTTGCTTCGAAAACATATTTAGACTTGATTGTCATTATATTTCTGTATTTAGCTCCAACAGCTCTGTTTTTCCAGTGACGGCCTCAAATTGTAACAGATTGTAGTCTGATGTGCGAAGTGTGTAATTCAGTCCACTAACATCACTCAGAGCATGTTTGGTGCAGTGTTACACAGAACTGGAAATTATAATGAATTCGATCTTAACTTTTTTTTATTTAATACTATTCAGTATTGTGCAATCCGACTAACCAAACAAGTCATCCGTGCTTTCAGGCGTCGTAGTTGTCGATATGCTTAACCCTACCCACAGCTCTAGGTGTAGGCAGAATAAAATGGGCCCTAGTGATTGTATTTCATTATTACTCCAACTCATTGTGTATCATTAGAAGTTATAAAGGTTTTTAACATTATTTGCTGTTAATCTTGTTACTTGAGGTGCAACTATAATTATTAATTAACATTTACATTGCATACTGCAGGATATACAAATACAAGCTCAGGACGAAGAGGGGTCGGATTTGATGCAACAAACGCTACAGGATTCTGGTGCCGAGCTACACTCACTCTGATGAATGATTCCGGAATTCTCTAATATTTGTAACTTTATTATTATAATCCGTTGCTTAGCCATGCGGCATAATCAAATGATTAGGTTTTTACCTCTTATCTTGTGTTGTAAATCAGCTTATTTTTACAATTTATCGTTTTAGAAAGTGCCAGACTATCTGTTTTGATGAATAATGATCTGAATCCAAATCGAAATTTGAGCATCTTTGTTTTGGTTCCTAGAATTCCCAGCTCACAATGGTACACTATAGCTCTGTTCTCACTTCGCTGGTAGAGAGCTAGCTGTTTTTGTCGCATGCATTAATATGTAACCAGTACTAAAAGTTGCTTGGTTCGACTGAATTTACTAGAACAATGAAAAACTTATTACCTCTTTCGCTACAGCATCATTCATCTGTTTGTCAACAGATTAGGTTCGTTGAGGGCTTGAAACCCGAGTTCAAGTTCATGTCTTAATTTTCTAGTGAGCCTGATGTCATTTCAAACCAAGTCGAGCCTGAGCCTGAGCCTAGGTTGAAAGCCTGAGCCCTGAGGAAAAGAAAAGTCACAATACAATATAAAGCAGTATGATTCATAATGAAAGAGCTTCAGCAGATGTTCACTGCTATGAATTGACGTTTTCGATGGAAGTTCCCATAGTATTACATTTCAAGGAAAAGAGAGAAACAGACTCTGGTCTTGCTTATGTTCGACTTCTACATACTTACAGAAAAACAGTAGCTTTTAAAGTACAGCCAAACGTGCTTTACGCAGAGTAATTTTCAATGGACTGTGAAAAGACCTTCCCGAATATGGCTTTGGCAATTGGAAGGAGACAGAGAACAGCAACTTGAAGTTGTTCTGAACTGCTAATCCTAACAGAGATCTGTCCACTCAGCTTGTTGTTCAGCCGGGCATGAATATTCAACTTAGAATCCCGACAAATGCAGATCTGAGATTGCAGGTTGCATCCCCAGATGAGATCACCTCTCCATCTGATTAGAGAAAGACCTATTGAGCTTTGATCATTACCAATGGGATAGTCCTTTTCCCTTAAATGCATCTCCAAGTTGGCTCCATATGCTGCATCACCTCGAGATTGAATGGCACCGACATTTCCCACAAAAAGTAACTGTTTTCCGACTGCAATCTTGTCCTCAACTTTGAGTCCAGGGACGACATTTTCACCGAGAAATGTGATTGATACTCCGGCCGAAGTTTTATTCATCTTACACGGTTGGATTTTTGTATCACCCTTCAATGTGTAGGCAAATTGCTTACCAACAGTTTGGATTTCAAGCCCTGCCATGGTTGAACCCTTGTTTCCATGCTTTGCTGAAACTGATGAATTTAAGTGCATATTGAACTCTTTCTTATCCTTTGCTAGCTGAACAGAAATTACTGATGGAAATCGACTGGCGATGGCAATATTATCTTCAATGATCACACCATCATATCCACAATCATGGTCCCAACCTTGGGAGTCGAAAACTGGCCTTGCAAGAAGATGGGACGAGGATTCTAGGAACCGGTATCTAAAAGAAGGGTTGTCTCCATCGAAAGAAGGCGGAAGTACCAAATCTGGTAAGGGAACTGCTACAGCTGCCGCAGTTCGCGCTTCCTCGCTGACATCTTCATCCATGAAAACATGATCAAGTAAACCGTCTTTTCCTTTCTTCTTCATGTCCCTCAACCGTTTCATTTCTTCTCTCCACTGTTTCTTCTGAAGTAGTTTCACGCGGTAATCATACTCTTCAAAGTATGATTTCCTCTGCTCCCGGTTTAACTTTGCAAACTGAGATTTATTCAATGGCTTGAATGGAAGGAGTCGATCATAATCATCATCTTTGTCAGAATCAGATGAATACTCCAGCTCTATGTCTGAATCATTCTCACCGCCATTTGAGAGTTTTGGATGAACATTGGATTGCAGTAATGAAGACAAAAAGTAGGGCAGAGATGGAGAACACATCCGAAAACCAAATTGGTTTGTATGATCCAAAGGATCTTGATTCTTTATCACAGAATTTACTTCTGATAAAATCTTCATAGAGTAACATAAAAGTAGAAGCTGTGATCTCCAAATTTCTCCGTTGGGGAGCATTGTTTCTCCATCTTTGTTCTTTTCGACAGAAAGGTGATTTTCAACAAAAGCAACTGGCTTCATCACATGCATATCACCAGCAGAATGATTAATAAGTTGTTGAACAACCCGTGATTGTTGAGCAACAAATGCATCGTAACTTAAGGGATTCCCAGAGGGTCCATCTGGAAGAGTTGAAGCTGCATGTGTCAGAGCAATAATGACATTATGCCATATTGATGGGCCGAGATATGTAGTGACAGACTTCAATATGGGCAAATCAGTAAGATCTCTGGTTTGGGCATCTACTCGGTCAACGTAGAGGACGATATCTGGTGGGCATTTCCTCATGAATTTCTTAATCGACAATAAAATTCTCCGGTTGATAGATTGCTCTGTGAAAGAAGTTCTAAGACCAGGGGTGTCCAAGATGCAGATTTTAACTCCATTTAATGAGCCTATAATTTCTTTCACATCAGTCGTCGCAGGCTCAAATGCATCAATCAACACTTTCTTCTCTCCAAAAATGGAATTTATGGTTGCACTCTTACCAACTCCAGTTTTACCAATAACCAGGATGTTCAAAGAAAAACTCAGATCATTCTCAATCTGTTCTTCAAGCTCCACAGCTGTTGCTTTAGCGCATTCAAGACTGAATCCTGGAGCAGAAGGCCTTCCTGCAGCAAGCGCTAGCTGATATAAAACCTGTGCGACGATGGGATCATCAGGAGACCGACCCAATCTATGGACAAGTCGCAAATATCTCACTCTAATCTGCTGTAGTTTCTCAATCTTTTCCTTCTCTTCTTCACTTAAAGATTCCTCTGAATCAATTCCCATTGTGGCCTCGGAACGCCTGAAAAAACTGTGATTGCTCAGTTGATTATTATTTCTCAGAGAATCCAATGTGAAGTCCTCTAGATTAGCAGGACGCTCCAGAAAGAAAACTTCAGTTCCATCAACGGACGAGAAATTTATGCTGCCACTGTCTGATGCAGCATCTGTGACTGCCTTCAAAAGTGCACCCAGTGAAGCAGAATTAAGAACTTGTCTCCCATCAATTTCTCTATCAGAGTTTACCTCTTCATCTGAGTCCGTCATGACCTGTCGCTCAATTTCCTGTGAATGATCTCTGGAACTCTGTCCACCAGCAAATGAAGTAGAAGGTAATCTATGTTCCATGACTACAGCTCGTTTATTTTCATCATGCAAAAGTGAATTGTCAACCTCCCCTAGAAACTCAATTGTGCCATTGTCCCCTTCACAATTTTTCTGTTGCTCTAAACTGGAACTGAGGGACACAAGCGTAGCAGGACTATCTGAAACAATTGATTCATCATCTATTGCAACATCTCGACTGAAATAAACTGAATGGCCATGAATGGAAGATACTAGCTCCCTAGCTGCCTGCAGTTCATCGATCACAGCTGCATCATTAACTGATTCATTTTTTCTGGGAGTGATATAGTCGTGAGATGCCATGGTCCAATTAATGTTTTCCCCGCATCTACTTTCAATAGCGTCACTTTGGGTGAGGACAACATTTTCCGCATCGTCGATATTACTCTTTCTACAGCTCCCATCATCCAAGGAAACAACCTCGTCCATCTCCTGCAAACTCATTGTTTCATGAGGAAGAACCTGTTCTACTTCCAAGATAAGAGAAGCATTATTTCCCAACGACTCAACATCTTTTGTTTCCTCATTTACACGACTCATAAGATTGTTGGACATTCTACTATGATCCAAATTCACACACTTTTTCTTGTCAGCTATCTCATCAGTTAAATAAATTTCTTCATTTAATTGTGTCGCATCTTCGTAGGACGATTCTTTCGAAGAATCGCACTCTTTACTCTCCATCAAAGACTTGCTTTTTCCTTCTTCAATAGTATCGGCACCCTTATGAACAGTGTCCTCCCAAAAGCTACACCCTTCATCTTTAGAACTCAAAAAACCACTTAAAATGTTGTTGGAAGCCAAGTCCTCGACAAACTCAGGTTTTACTGCTACGTGAGGTTGTAACTCATTGCCCTCACCTTCATATTTAGAACTTGAAACACCATTTAAATTGTTGTTCGGATCCAAGTCCTCGACAAACTCAGGTTCTAGCACATGGTGAGATTGTGACTCATCGCCTTCTTCTTCATATTTAGAACTTGAAACATTATTCAAAATGTTTATGGGAGCCAAGTTCTCGACAAACTCAGGTTCTACCACATGGTGAGACTTTGACTCATTGGCTTCCTCTTCTTCTACCTCTAAGATTCTAACTTTTGGGGCACTGTACACTCTCTGCAGCATTTCAGCGCTTGGGACCCTAATAACAGCAGAAAAAACATCATCTTCCATTGCCTCACTGCGCGGAGAATCATCGTCGCTGTCTCCAGATACCAGGGCAATTGGCATGACCATTTTTGGCAGCAATGAGATCCCAATATCCACAACCGGCGTTGTGTTATCTTTCACAATCACTTTATCTCTATCATTCAACAAAGGCTTATAATCATCAAACTCATTAACACTAATCCTTTCTTCAATGATTTCTTCATCTGGGCTTTTCACAAAAGGCCTATAATCATCAAATTCATTAACACGATTCCTTTCTTCAATGACTTCATCTGGGATTTTCACAAAAGGCCTACTAAATGCAAATTCATTAAAATCATCACTACCTTGAACTACTTCACCATCCGAGTTCTTCACAAAAGGCCTAGAAAAAGTATAATCACTAACATTACTACTCCTTTGAACAATTTCTTCACCTGGGCTCTTCACAACAGGTCTTGCAAAATCATACTCCTTAACAAAACGAGTTGAAGCCCGAACTTCCTCGTCTGAGTCAGTCCCAAAATGCCTCTCAGATGCACTTTCAAACTCATCTTCACCACTCACAAATCCCTCATACTCCGTCTCGCTCCCACTACTATAACTACTATTTTTATGACTTTTGGCTGAAACAGAATATTCAAAGTCAGAATCATCCATAGTAAGGGGAGCTCTAATACCTGATAATGAACTGGAAACGGGGACCTTTGGGGCCATTTGTGTAGTGGAAAGAGGGACACCATGAAGCCTTGAGTCCATTTTTGTACTATATTTATTAGTGTATGGGAAAAGCAAGAAACATACGGGGGTAGTGAATCAAATTTCCATTGGAAAAGATGGGTGCTTTGATTAGGGTTTCTTTTTGGGTTTTTGTAGGATTGTTTGGTTGTTCATGTTTGTTTTATTTGAGGTTATGATTGTGTTACGTTGGACATGGCGTTGGTGTGGTAAGATAAAGTACAAATGGGACCATGAGTTTGGAATTTGGAAAGAGTTGGTGGGATAAGGGATTATGGGGATGTGGTTTGAGGATGAAACACTTGGATTTGAAGAAATTCACATCTGCCCCTCTTCAGTTAGAAATTCTAATGCTTCTATGACCACAGAATAGTTTTTTTGTCTTTTCAGTTCATTAAAAGTGTGTCAAATTTGAAATTCTAAACTTCCATTTTTTATTTTTTTTCGTCTCAAACCTATAATTTTTGTATAAAAGACGATATTTAGACTATTTTTATTCGCATAGTATACATGAAAATATTATTTTACTCTATTTTTATGTAATCAAGAGATAAATATGAAGGAAGAAAAAAATTGAAAATAACTCATAAAGCCCAGCCCTCACCCCATTTTTGAGCTGTCCTCCTCCCTCCTTCCACTTTACAAAAGAAATATGAGTTCATATCGGGTTGATATGATATCATTTTGGGGTGGACTTGAGCCCAACCTAACGCATACTTCTATTCTTTTTAGTCATTTTTTGATTAGCTTTCTAAAATGAAATTTGGAAATGAGTTTGAGTTGTAGACATTTTGCAGCTCCAAATGGCTCTCCACCTTTACAATTTTCTTTGCATAAATAGAAAATCTAGGGACAACCAGACTTAAACATGTCGAGTCATTTGGTGCATGATTGTTCCACAAACTATAAAGTAAATGATTCGTGTGACTTTACAATTAAAAAAAAAAAAATGAAGACTAGTCACTTCAAACCTGTTGAGAATTAACCAACATTTTTGAACTGGGACCATATGGCTTCCAATTTCTCATAATTGAAAGGGAAAACTACAGCAGCGGTTCCAAATTTTTGAATTTTTTTTTTGCAGGTTTTATCTTATCTTTCACTTTGTATCACTGGTGATCTCAATCTTTTGAAAAATTAGCACCTAAAATCCAAATGAATGGATTTAATCTATTTGACTGTTAGTTGATCAAGAAAATGTCTTTTGACTAAATCTAAAGATGACAAAATGGTAAATTCATCATTATTCAACATAAAATAATTAATACAAAAAAAAAAGTGAAAGGAAAATGGAATTGTTCACCGTCAGGACAATTGTTTCAATAATCACTCAACTTCATCATGGTCACGATTTACTCACTGAACTTTAAAGTGCTTCACAGTGCTCACTGAACTGTTTCTGTTTGCACTGCGTCCATCACACTCAAAAATTCGTTACCTTATTCGTTGACGTGGNTACTCATTCAACTTATATTTGGTCACATTTTACTCATCGAACTTCAAAATGTTTCACAATGGTCACTTATCTTTGAGATGTTGCACTCCATTCATCATCCGTCATATTTTGTTCCCTTCATTTCTAATGTTCGCACAAAAATTCCACGTTGTACGTTATACATGTTAAAAAAATTGCAACTTAACAAAACTTAACTCACCAAAATCACCATATGTGAAACGTGATTTCTACGGCCCCCATCAACATCTTTAAAATTCAATAAAGCATCTCAATAATTTTTTTTAGAAATATCATTTTTCTAATTCAAACATTTACTGTGCAAAAAAATAGGTTTTAATTTGAAGGTGAAACTCGGAAGCATAACTTGTTTGGTTGGAACGTTTACCATATGTGAAACTCGACTTCCAAACATCATAAACTTTTTTAAAATCCAATAAAGCGTACCCAAACAAGTTATGTTTCAGAATTTCAGTTTCAGACTAAAAATTATTTTTTGCACAGTAAACGTTCGAATTAGAAAAATGATATTTCTAAAAGAATAAATGAGAACGCTTTATTGAGTTTTAAAGAAGTTGATGGGGCCGTGGAAGTCACGTTTCACATATGGTGATTTTTGAGAATTAAATTTTGTTGTGTTGCAATTTTTTTAACATCTGTAACTTACCGCGTGGAATTTTTGTCCGAACACAAAATATGACGGATGATGAATGGAGTGCAATATCTCAAAGATGAGTGACCATTGGGAAGCATTTTGAAATTCGATGAGCAAACTTTGACCAAATATAAGTTGGATGAGTAATGAAATAATGATTGGCTTAGTTGTCATTTTTTAACGACCGTAACTTGCCACATCAGCGAATAATGTAACGAATTTTTTAGGGTGATGAACGGAGTGTAAACGGACAAAGTTCAGTGAGCACAGTGAAACACTTTAAAGTTTAGTGAGTAAATCGTAACCATGATTAAGTTGAGTGATTATTGAAATAATTTACTCCCCCGTCCCCACCCCACCCCACCCCTCAGAATGCGGCGCTAATTGGAAGAGCACCATTGCATCCTTCATTAATCCTAAATGGCAACAGGCTTGTCCCAAAACCAAGTATTGAAAGGAAATTTTCTGACAAAAGGGAATCAGTTCCAACTCGTTCCATGCTTCAACCCAGTCAAATAGTTTAATATTCGAGAAGGGAAAAAAGTATTAATAGAAGTTTTGGTTTCAGGAGATTGTAATTAATTCAAATTGCAAATAGATTTTAACTTTTTAATATATAATTTTGGGTTAACAGGAATAGAGGCCGGCATCAAGGGTAGCCACTGCGGTTGTCTTGCGACGGATGAGAAGCTTAATGTGGCTTAGCAGTTGAGAAACTCTTCTACTCTCTCGTTTGGGGAGTGTTTATGGATGATTTTTATTGTCGAAAGTGGGAATCTATCGAATGAAAAAGCCGTCATCTAACCAGCAAACGCTTCCCGCAACGAAATGCCCATGGAAACCGGCGGTGGCGATGAGTGGTGATGGCTGTGGAAGAAGGCAGCGACGATGGCGGGTTGATTTGGTTTTGATTTAGTGGGTTGGATTGGGTAAGAAGGATACGGATTGGTTTGGGCGGGGTTGGGTGGGGTGTGGTTGAGGAAGATGAACAGTTCTTCCATTTTCCTTTTACTTTTTTAATTATTTTATGTAGAATAACTATGAATTTATCATTTTTCCCTCATTAGATTTGATCAAGAGACATTTTCATGGTCAATAGGTCAAATGGATGGAATGGATCCAGGTGCTAATTTTTCGGAGGTTTGGAATAACTGTTAGACACAAACTGAAAGTTATATCTCAAAGGTTTGGGGCACTGTTGCAATTTCACCTTATTTAAATTTAATACTAATTTTACAACACAATATATAAAACTAGTTGTTCGAACTAGGTTTTTATTACAATTTTCAACTTATTTATAAGTGGGATTTCAAAGTCGAGAATATATTAAAATAATTGTGATTCGAGGATCAAATAACCTAAGCTAGAGCAATTTTGTTACATTCTTTAACACTTGTCTAATTCATAGACTCGCGAACAATAAAATTAAGAATTAAGGCAATCAATCATATACCAATAGTAAACTATTACCCTCGCATACAAATCATGTAAAACATGTCATTTACATGAAAGGAATCCTAAATTCATCTTCAGAACATAAGCTAAAAATAAATGCTACTTCCAACTTCAATGTTACTACTACCTGCTACAAATCCAACTAATAAGTCTTTTGAGGGACAATACAGAAAAAGATTATGACAAATCGAGGTATGGTTTCATTTTAAATATTATACTCACCCTATCTAATCTCAAATCCTAAATCATTTTTCTTCTCTCTCTCCTTCTCTCCTCGTCTCTCTCTACCCTCTCCATTTTCATTTATCCTTAGATCGACATCATCATTGAGAAGCTCCTGCCGCTGGAGGGTCGAGTAGTGGTGTTGTTGCTGTTGTGTCTGCCCTCACAGTCGGCGATGTGAGCGCTGACAGCAGCCAAGGGTGGGCGTGAGTTGGGTTGGGTCGATTTTTGTCCCATCCAAAAACTCAACATTGTCGGTTTGTTCGAAATTCAACCCAACCCAACCCAACCCAACCCATGTACATATTGAAACCCAACCTAGTCCAACCCAATTATGTGTCGATCGGTTTGAGATAAAAATAAAATCATTTCATCTTTTCTTGGTGATACAAGATATGGATTTAACTTCGATCAATTCATCTTGAAATTGAAATTTTCATGTCACTCCCTAAACAAGTTTTGCAAAAATATACGTAATGACCCCCATTGAATCACAGCTTGCTGGAAGCAAGAAGTTAGAAGAATTATTATTTATTATCCATTAACAGTTTAACACAATGCCGCAATAAAAATTATTCATTCATTCTGCACATAGATTTAAGACAGTTCCATGCACAAAATTGATGAGCTGTAATACAATCACAAGTACTTTTTAGGTTCATTTTCAATGAAAACTCATCTCAAATATTTCTTATTGCTATATCTTTTCGAGGAATACACGAAAGATTAGGAGCGGGAAATAAGCCCAAGTTCTAAGGCCACGTGTTTCGTTGCTATTTATGCACTTCCACTGTTTATGTAGTTTCATTCTCTTCAGAGCAACACTTGCATCAGAAAACTTACTTTCTCCTTTTATTAAAACTATATCATAATCCACCAAACTTGTAAAGTAACAATTCAGAAAAAGATACAAGGCCCATAACATGGTTGAGTATTAAAAATAAATAAATAAATAAAAACCAGAAAACTTATTATTTATTTATTTATTTTTAAAGTAGGCGGGTTGGGTTGGGCAGATTAATTCAGTTTTTATGTGTTAACTCATAACCCAACCCAACCCGTCTACACAGTCAACCCATCCAACCCATATAAAAACAACAAAAAAAATCGACCCAACTCGGTCGAGTTGTGCGGTTTAGTCAGGTTCGGTCGGGGTTTGTCCACTCCTAACAGCAGCATCGCCCTCGCCGCTGCTAGAGTTCGATAGGGGCACTCGTCTTCGGAGACACCTCCAAA